ATAGTAACGGAAAAGCTGCTGGACATCGATCCGTTATAGACTGGATGCAATTTTTCTCGTCCATAAGTGTTCTAGTTACAATTCAAAAACTCTTATTATTTTTGGTGATGCTTGTATCACTGTAATAAAAATAAGTAGAAACGTGAAATTCTGGTATAGAGTAGATCTAGACATCTAGTATAAATACTGAAAATATCAGTCTCTTCGAATGCAGAAACGTGTAAGAAAAGAATATTTGATGAGGGGATCAGAACTTACGTGACACCCTTTATATGTGTTACGCATTTCTTTTTCTTTCAACTGGCCTACGTGCGCATGTAACAAAGAAATAGTGTAGACGTATAACAGTATAAAAGAGAAAAATTCAGTATGGTATATTGTCTGCGATCGTCATGCGGAATGTAAGCAACAAAAAAGCACACGTGTAAAGCGCAGCAGCGAATCATACTATGAGTGTACGCAATTATTTTTAATCTTCAACGTATATTGTGCACACTTATCCGAAGAAAAAGGTTCATGACGCATATATGCGTCCCCCGTTCCGAACGGGATAAATAAACTGTATGACATGCGATACCATATTTATTTTCAGCAACGTTTCGTAAGCACCTTCGTCAGATGCTAATGCAGAATCAATTGAAAGATAGGCATAATCACGACGATCATTATATAATTTTATACGAGAATCATCAAATGGAATTGGAACGCCCTAAAAGAAAAATATTGAAAAGAGATGATTAATATAAATAAAACTTACATCATGATACCAAATTATACCAGGTACTAGTTAACCAACAAGTAACATTGCTATACGAGCTTTTGTCCTTCAAGAAAATATTGAATATCAGGACCATCGACTTGTAATGATGGTCGAGTACCTGAATTGAAATATATTATAGAAGAATTTATAGAGGTTTTTTTTCTCTTACCATATTCATCCAATGTTGAAGTTGCTGGTCGTTTTGTTTTACTAATTGGTTCTTGTTCCTCTTCTACTCGTTTTTCATCAGCTAAATCGTTTTTTTAATTAATAAAAATTAATCTTTTTGTATTAACCACATACTTCGAGTTAAAAGTCGACTTGTTATTGGTTGTGATGGACCACTAACATCAAATATATTTTTCGCACGAACTCTAACAGCACAGATATGATTTAAATTCAGATCATGTAATTGAATACTTGTATCTATTTATAAAATATAATTAATTAGAAAGAAAAATTAATAATAATAAACCTAGTAATGATGTAACATATCTTTTCCAAGAATAAGTTCTTGGATCTCTTAATTCAACAATGTAAGTACATGGTTGTGCTCGAGTATGTGATGGTGGATGATCTCAACTTAAATTCAAACTTGATTTTGAATGTGGTAGTTAATAATAATCTTGATGATGATAATGGTATTGCACCTCGTTTAATTGTTGGTGATGGTAATTTTGGTACATCAAAACTTACACGACATTTTAAACGACTTGCTTCATGATGTGCTAAAAGAAAAAAAAA